AAAAAGCTATAAATAAATATATAATATAAATATATATAAATAAATAAATATATATATATACATATTTATTAATATATATATAAATAATATATATTTATATATATATTAATATATAATAATAATAATAAATAAAACATAAATATATATATATTTATTTGTTATTTGAAAATACACAATAATGCTGGAATAAAAACGATGCCTTAACTATTTTATTTCTAATTTTTTATTCACGAAAATTTGTTTAACATTTTGGTCAGAATCTTTCAATTAAAATGGGACCAAACACGATATGTGTTTTCAACCATATTTATTCGATTACATCGTGATTGATTTTATGTAGTCAGAAATATCTGTTCAAACTATAGCATATTTGGTCTTAATTTAATCAGAAAACTATCAGCAATATTAAAATTAAAAAAGTTATGTTATTATACTATGAGTTGTCATTCCGAGAATTCTAGTTTAACCTTAGCATAGGCATATGAACAATGCATATATGCATAGGAATACCACAGGAAAAAAGTAAGCAAGCCTCTAAGAAGAACTACATATTAGGAAGAATTTACTGTACATGCAAAATTGGTGTAACAAATAAAACTGAAACCGACACGATATAAAAATTCAAATGACCATCAAAAATAAACTTCAAAAAGCATTTAACTTTAAACGATATCAAAAATTTCTCAACAAGTATCCAAAAAATATTAAACTCCAAATCATTAAACAATTGTAATGGGGTTTAAGGTTATAAAGGCCACTTTCCCATCGGACAAGTAAAAACGTTAGTAAGAAACGTCAGTAAGGACTTCGAAGAGAAAAAAGTTTGCTCTGCAGTATTCCTAGACATATCTCAGAAAAAAAGCAACTATCACACAGCACATTTCTTTTAATGCAGTCTTACTTAAGCAAAAGACACTTCCTCATTAAATATCAAGAAGAATGCACTGTTCTACATGAAATACTAGAAGCAGAGTCGGTAAGATAACTAGCAATGCATTTAGGTCGAAGAATGAAAGAATGAAACATGAAGGATATACATATGAAGTAAGGGTAAACAAGTAAGATACAGACTTCAAAAGCTGTACTGGCTATTGGGCTGAAAATCAAAACTGTACAGAAAATAAATTATTACTCTATAAATGTATACTAAAACCAATCTGGTCATACGGAATACAATTGTGGAGTTCAACTTCAAATTCCAATATAGAAATACTAGAAAGAATTCAATCAAAAGTTTTAAGAACAATAATAGACATGGTTCGTCACGAATGAAATTATAAGAAAGAACTTGAAAATTCCAATAATGAAATCTGAAATAGCTAATTTCGGCTGTAAATATATAAAGAGACTAAACAATCATCCAAATCGAATAGCAACAAATTTGCTATATAAAAAATCGGACAAGAAAAGACTAACATGAAACAAATCATTAGACTTTAACAGTTTTACGTAAATCGACTCAAATCGTTGCACTAACCTGAATTAGTTTAATTAATATAATTAGCGTGAGTCATCGGACGAACATCAACGTGTTATTATTAATCATTTGCTAATCAAATTACTTATTTTCGTAGGTAGATTGTAAATTTCATGGGAAATTAAAAAGAAAAAAGAAGAGTATATTAAGATATTGATTGACCAAATGTCAAATATCCTAACTTTATTCTTAACATAAATGAAGATGTCAAATCAAAACTACCAGTTGTTTATTATCACCAACAACTCAATCATGACTTGTGTCGATGTTTCTTGTCACTTTTTAATAAGTGAAGTCAGACAGCCATTTAGCTGGCCGAGAAAGGTTCCTTCCTTAAAATATTAATGTTTTATTGTGATTGTCTTATCAGCGAGTTGTGGAGCTGCACAAACGGAGCAACTACTAATACGTTGGACGACAATTTCTGATCTGAGTACTTTCTTGAAATTCAAATCAAATATAAAGCGAACATCTACTTTCGATTTCGATACTTTCTCCAAATTAAATTAAATGATAATAAATATTTTTTGTATTTCTTTATATCCTTCCGATTTTCTAAGATTTTTTTGTGGATTAGTATCTTATTTTTTATATTTATTGACATTTGGAAGGTGGTGCGGGATTAACATTTCTTGGAGGATTTTTGAAGGGTTTGTTAATAGCTTTTGAATACTTTTAAGGGAAATTAATACCTTTTGGATGCTTTTTCAAAGATTTTTGTGTGAGTTAATTTTTTGTGAGAATCAAAATCTAAAATGAACTCGACTACAGTAATATATCAAGTTTTGCAAGACTCTTCGGCTACAGCGTGAATAAGAGTAGAAATTGATGAGATATAAATAATGATAAGATAAAAAAGTAAGTAAGATAAGAAGATAAAAAACGGTGAATAAAAACTGATAAAAAAGTTAAAAACGAGATTTTTTATTTTTTTTTTGTTATTCCAGGTAATAGCACAATTTAAAAAAAGCGATTTAGTAATTGTGTAATAGACTAGACCCTCTATCATCTAAAAAAATTCAAGTCGTTTAGTCCAGATTTAAAAAAGTTATTGCGTTTTAAAATATGTACGAACACTTCCATGGGCTACTGTGTATGTGTTTATCAAAATAACTCAGTACAGGTCTGCCGAAACACACGAGTACACATACATCGAAATACGTATGTATTAAATATATGGACTTCGATACACATTTACACGTGTACAGAAATACATGTGAATGCGTGCATTAAAAATTACACGAATCCAAACACGTATACATATATTAATTACATGCATAAACGTAAAAATGATATACCCATGAAATAGAGATCTCCAAAATCGCCCAACATGTCAATACAAATATTTGTGAAACCAAAAATGATGATTTTTTAAATTTTTTATACTAATATCTATTGTGTTCATTCCATACTCTGTAGATTTTGTGTTAAGCTCTTTTTTGTTAGATGATCCTGTATACATGTGTAAAAGAATATTCTCTGTATTGTAAACAGAGAATACATGTATATTTATTACATTGTCTGAAGAAATAATAAAATGTTTACTCTTCGATCCACTTACCAGATAATCCCAACACTCTTAGTATAGTTCGCTAATTATACAAGCTCCGCCGCACCCCATCTGCTTCTTTCAAATCCCCGTACGAAGGGCTGTGCGGGTATTGTTCGACTCTCCTATCATCTCTCTCTCTCACTCTCTGTCTTTCTCTCTCTCTCTCACTCTCTCTCTTTCTCTCTCTCTCTCTTACTCCCTCTCTCTTTTTCTCTCTCTTACTCTCTCTTTCTCTCTCTCTCACTCTCTCTTTCCCTCTGTCTCTCTCACTCTCTCTCTCTCTCTCTCTCTCTCTCTCTCTCTCTCTCT